AAGTAATTTAAAAAAATATATAATTATATATTTTTTTAGGTGCTGGACTCATTGGTAAAAAAATTAAAATAGATTATTTTAATAAAATTTTGAGTAATTTTAATTTGAAAAAATGTCCAAGATTGTCCAAAATTGTCCCATGTATAAATAGGTACTAATTTAGTAATCAGGTGAGCTAATATCTCATAAAACATTAAAGAGTTGTAATTGTACATGTGACATTTGTAACCAAATATCTTAGCATACTAATAAACGGTATTGGCAAGACTGCTGAATTTAAAAAAAAAAAAAAAATTAATATCTAATATATATCGATATATATTTAAAATTATTTTTACTATTATATATAGTTTAATACACAATCTCGATTTTTTTCAAACCAGAAATACACCTGTTACACTATTTGTTTTCTCACGAATTCAAAGAATGCAAAAAATACTTCAAATAGAATAATTATGCTACTATTCTCAGATGAAATACTTATCTATATAAATCAAAAGCAATTAAATTTTAATTATTTTAAAGAGATTTTTGGCGAAGTATTTAAGTTTGCATATATGAAATTTGGAAAGCATATTGAGCAACATAATATATTGTCTTTTTTTCAAAATATCCAATGCTTTAACCCTCAATTTATCTGTGATAATACTTTAAAGCACAATTTATCAACTTATTCGAATATCTTAGAGTTTAAAAATCTCTCAAATCAATTAATTAATAAATGGAATACATATTGTAATATGGTAGAGAATTTTGAGGTCAATATTGAGTCTAGATTAGAACAATTTTGTAAAGACAAAGTATTTACCTTACCTATTCTTTCAAAAATTGTTTTAGATTATATTTAGATTCCTGTTTTAGCTGTAGATATAAAATATTCATTTTCAAATTACAAGCATATCTTGGATGATAGACGAAGGAACCTTAATGAAAAAAATATAGCTAGATTAAATTTTTTATATTTTAATGAATATGATTTTAACGAAAACAACATAAATGAATAGAATATAAATATGATTGTATTTTTTTAAGTCTTAATAAATAAATTGTGCGTACGTATAGCATGTACATACGTATATACATGTGGGAATATGAAGGTCTCTAATTAAAAAACTTTTGTTACGCTTATTGCAAATTATTTATTTTGCTAAATTTGCTAAATTTGCTAATTTCACTAGCTATTTTTGCTAGCTATTTTTGCTATCAATGTCCGGGGTCCCTGATGTATACTATCAACCTAGGCACAACCGGATATTATCAAATAAATTCGAATTTAAATCTGATGCATATTTTTATTAATTAAATTTAATCTGAATTACAAAACAAAATCCGGTTCCAAACTCTAGTTATACTGTAGTAAAAATAATGGTTAAGTACGTAAACAAGCCTCATTTCTATACTATAGAAAAACCAAATTTCTGATTTTGTTTATTATAAGGTTTATATCATTTTTTTATCCCTTCAGAAACAATTTACTAATTAATGTTTTTTAAGAGCCCACCCTTCTATTACGAACTAATATATAAAATTATAAAATTTAAAACTTATAGTTCTTTATAAAGAGGTTCTTTATAGAGTCGGTTGTAATAATATTGACTGTAAAAGTATTTTTTTTTATTAAATAACTTTTTTTGCTTTAATAAAAGTTGTAGAGCTAATTTTTCTGATTCTAATGGTGGTAAAATCATCAAAATCGGGTTAATATATTATGAGATAGAAGTATTTTTTAATTATTTACTATATAGTTGGAAGCACACGGCATTTTACTTACTATATAAGGGGTTCGTCTAAAGCAGAGCAGAATCACGTGATATTGGACCAATCAAATTATAGAATTTTGATGATCGCCGACGAAGTAAAACAAAATACAAAACATAGCAGTCTAAACCTACCTTGGGTAAGTTAAGTAAAAATGTCGGGAAGACAATTTTGCTTATATATAACTACCTAAACCCTGCTCTAACTCTAATTCAAGATAACCATAACCCTAAAGTTAATTTGATAAAATAAATATTATAACTCCGCTTTAGACGTCCCCTATATAGGGTAACTAGTCACATGCCCTCCGAGTTTTACTACTAATTAATTTTTTTTTATTAATGAATTTTTTTTAGTTATAAGAAAGTCACGTATATAATATAGTTTAAATGCAATTGAATGGTTTATTATCATATGCTCGTCTTATGCCCAATCATGAAGAGTCATTTAATTTCATGTGATCAGCTATCCTAAATGTAAGATCATCTGTTGATTTTAAATTCAAGGCTCTAGTCAGGATGAAAGGCGTCCATCTTAAATTTTCGGGTTTGATTCTTGGATATCCTTTCGCTTCAACTTTTCGTAAATGATCTTCAACAACTTTTTTACTCACAATAATTTTGTATGTATCATTGATCTCATCCTTCTCAATCATATTATTGATTTGGAGAGTGGCAATAACATCATCAACAGTCATACTTGTCAAACGGCTTAATTCTAAATAGATGTAAAACACTAGTGTTATAAATGAGGCAGAAGATTAATTTTTATTTAATAAAATCTTTACCTCACCTTGGATGCTTATGCTTTTTCTATCTTTATTCAGCTCTTCGAACAACACATTTTTCCAGTAATATCTATAACTATGTAGCCCAGATTTGGATAAAGGCTTCTCAGGGGAGCCTATTTTATTCTCTCTATTAGTGAGCAAGTAGCCTACGATAAATGAGAATGATAAGAATTCGTTCAAATAATATCTGTAATTAGATACTTACTAAATTCTATTAATAGATTCCCATATCCTTTTCTTTGATGAATTGGAAGTATCAGAATACAAGAAACATTATGATTTCCTTGTGAACGTTTTTCCTAAATTAATATATAACAAATATTAGGCAAATTCGATTTATATTAATACCGATGATATGGGCTGCCGTCAATAGAAATAAGGCAGATTGACATTTTAAAAAAAATCAATACCTTAACTTTCACAGCCAATATATCGATGGATTTTGAGTCTGTCTTAATGATTCATTATTCAAAAGAAAGCATACGATCTAAGCTTTCTTTTGAATATTAAATCATCAATATAGCCTTAAAATTCATCGAGATATGAGATGTGAAAGTTAAGGCATTGATTTTTTTTAAAATGTCAATCTGCCTTATTTCTATTGACGGCAGCCCATATGTATAATGTAAAAACTAAAACAACAAACTTTAGAAAAATAGCCAACAAAATGGCATCCCGTATCGTCTGCTTCTGTCATCACATAGAAAAGAAAAGGCTCTACGTCAAAAAATAGTGTCTTATGAGCGATGAACATTTTTGCAAAAAGGCAAAGGTTCTGGCAATATATCTAGAAAAATATTGAATAATTAAAAAAAAGAAATCTAAGATCTAGTATTCTGTTTTGACTATAAACAAGAAATTAATAGCTCAACCTTATTTTTTCGTCCATCAACTTCAAAAATCGAAATAGGACCATCTCGATATATTTCATCACCAGGTGGGTGACGTACCGGACATTTCATCTACATCGGTTGACTTATTTTAATTTGGGTGCTAAAGACTAGATACAAAATACTCGTAAAAACAGACCTTGTGTCGATCGGCAATAAACTCACTTCTCATGTACTTTAAACAAAATTCACAAACATATACTAGTGAATTTGCGATATATTCCATTTCATAAGAAGACGTACACCACGGTTCAATTTCCCATTCCCCGAACCGAATTGCTTCTAGTGTAGGGCCACTCGTAGCTATAGAAGCAGACATTTGAAGACGTATGTTTACGTCCAACTGACGTCAAAAGTGTCGTAATGACGTAGGTCGTAATTACTGACGTTTGCCGTAATTATTGACGTTTGCCGTAATTATTGACGTTTGCCGTAATTATTGACGTTTGCCGTAATTATTGACGTTTGCCGTAATTATT